TCAATATAGTGCTTGAAGTTCTAGCAATAGCAATAAGACAACATAATGGGATCAAGGGGATTCGAATTGGAAAGGAAGAAGTTAAAATTTCGTTATTTGCAGATAATATGATAGTCTACATAAGCGACCCCCAAAACTCCACCAGATAACTTTTACAGCTGATAAACAGCTGTAGTAATGTGGCAGGATACAAGATCAACTCCAAAAAATCAGTCGCCCTCTTATACACAAAGGATATGGAAGCACAGAGGGAAATCAGAGAAGCTTCACCATTCACGATAGCCACAAACAGCATAAAATATCTTGGGGTAACTCTAACCAAGGAAGTAAAAGATCTATTTGACAAGAACTTTAAGGCATTGAAGAAAGAAATTGAAGAGGATAGCAGAAAATGGAAGGACCTCCCCTGCTCTTGGATTGGGAGGATCAACATAGTAAAAATGGCAATTCTACCAAAGGCAATTTATAGATTCAATGCAATCCCCATCAAGGTCCTATCAAAATTCTTCACAAATCTTGGGAGGACAATAATCAACTTTATATGGAAAAAACAAAAAAACCAGGATAGCCAAAACTGTCCTATACAATAAAGGATCTTCTGGAGGCATTACCATCCCTGACTTCAAACTCTATTACAGAGCTAAAGTAATGAAAACAGTGTGGTACTGGCATAAAAACAGAGAAGTCGACCAATGGAATCGTATAGAAGACCCGGATTTTAACCCACAAACCTATGAACACCTCATTTTTGATAAAGGAGCCAAAATTATACAATGGAAGAAAGAAAGCATCTTCAACAAATGGTGCTGGCACAACTGGATGTCAACCTGTAGAAGAATGAAAATAGACCAATATTTATCACCATGCACAAAACTCAAGTCCAAATGGATTAAAGACCTCAATATCAGTCCGAACACACTAAACCTGATAGAAGAGAAAGTGGGAAGTACTCTACAACAGATGGGCACAGGAGATTGCTTCCTAGGTATAACCCCAGCAGCACAGACATTAAGGGCAACATTGAATAAATGGGACCTACTAAAACTGAGAAGCTTCTGTAAAGCAAAGGACACTGTCACTAAGACAAAAAGACAACCTACTGACTGGGAGAAGATCTTCACCAACCCTGCAACAGACAAAGGTCTGATCTCCAAAATATATAGAGAACTCAAGAAACTAGACTGTAAAATGCTAATTAACCCAATTAAAAAATGGGGCACTGAACTGAACAGAGAATTCTCAACAGAAGAAGTTCAAATGGCTAAAAGACACTTAAGGTCATGTTCAACCTCCTTAGCAATCAGGGAAATGCAAATCAAAACAACTTTGAGATATCATCTTACACCTGTCAGAATGGCTAAAATCAAAAACACCAATGATAGCCTTTGCTGGAGAGGCTGTGGAGGAAGGGGTACACTTATCCATTGCTGGTGGGAATGCAATCTTGTGCAACCACGTTGGAAATCAGTGTTTTGGTTTCTCAGGAAATTCGGGATCAACCTACCCCTGGACCCAGCAATACCACTCTTGGGAATATATCCAAGAGATGCCCGATCATATGACAAAAGCATTTGTTCAACTATGTTCATAGCAGTATTATTTGTAATAGCCAGATCCTGGAAACCACCTAGATGTCCTTCAATGGAAGAATGGATGAAGAAAGTGTGGAATATATACACATTAGAGTACTATGCGGCGGTAGAAAACAATGACTTCTCGAATTTTGCATGCAAGTGGATGGAAATAGAAAACACTATCCTGAGTGAGGTAACCCAGACCCAAAAAGATGAACACGGGATGTACTCACTCATATTTGGTTTCTAGCCATAAATAAGGGTCACGGAGTCTACAATTGGTGAACTTAAAGAAGCTAAATAAGAAGGTGAACCCAAGGAAAAACATATAGTTATTCTCTTGCCTATGGGAAGTAGACAAAATTGCCGGGGAGAAAATTGGGATCTTGGGGGTGGGGTGGGATGGGCGTAAGGGGAGATGGGGAGAGAAAAGGGAGAAGGGGAGGATGGGAGGAACTTGGGAAAACAAGATGATTGGATAAAGGAAGGCTGGATAGGGGAGCAAGGAAGCACAATTCTTAGTTAAGGGAGCCACGTTAGGGCTGGCAAGAGACTGGAACCTAGAGTGGCTCTCAGGAGCCCAAGGCGATGTCCCCAGTTAGTTCCTTGGGCAGATGAGGATAGGGAACCTGAAACAACCCTATCCTATAGCAATACTGACGAATATCTTGCATATCACCATAGAATCTTCATCTGGTGATGGATGGAGATAGAGACAGAGACCCACACTGGAGCACTGGACTGAGCTCCCAAGGTCCCAATGAGGAGCAGAAGGAGGGAGAACATGAGCAAAGAAGTCAGGACCACGAGGGGTTCACCCACCCACTGAGACAGTGGGGCTGACCTATTGGGAGCTCACCAAGGCCAGCTGGACTATGACTGAAAAAGCATGGGATAAAACCGGACTCTCTGAACATGGCGAACAATGACGGCTGATGAGAAGCCAAGGACAATGGCACGGGGTTTTGATCCTACTTCATGTTCTGGCTTTGTGGGAGCCTGGCCAAGTTGGATGTTCACCTTCCTAGACATGGACGGAGGGGGGAGGACCTTGGACTTTCCACAGGGCAGGGAACCCTGACTGTTCTTTGGACTGGAGAGGGAGGGGGAGAGGAGTGGGGGGAGGGGGAGAAGGGTGGGAGGAGTGGGAGGGGAATGGGAGGAGGGGGAAACATTTTTTTCCTTTTCTCAATAAAAAAAAAAAGAAAGTACATGTGTTCATCAATTTGTGGTGACTTAAATCTCCTCACCTCGCAAATGTCCTATGTGCTTATGATATTTTATTCTAACATGAATGGCATGTTTCTGAACAAACATGCTCTGTTGCTATGTTTTCCACCCAAACGCTTAAATGCACATTTCATGGAATAACTGTAAATAATTGTTCATGAATATATTTTGCTGCACATGTGTTCCCGTGCACGGGATGTTGTTTATATGCCTATATTTCTGAAATTAGAAAACAAAATATGCAACCTGGTTAATTGTCAGACCCTCCCCGTGGCAATATCAATGACTGTTAATTCTTTGGCTTGATTAGACACATGAACCGGACTGAAGATTGATACTTTCAACACAGAAAGGGCTATTGCGATATCTCCTCCTAAATTTGAAGCTGTTACATAAATAATAACTGTGCTGTGACAGCACACAGAAAATGAGCAGAACCTGATTATCAAATGTAAATAGCAAGCCTGGGAGCTGTTGAATACGCAACCTCATTATGACGATATTATTCAAACAAACAATCCTTAATCCAATAAAAAGAACATTTTCATGGTAAGGATCACGAAAGAAAGAAAGATCAAAGGTCTCTATTCAGTCATCCCAAAGTTCTTTACCTCCCAAGGACAAGAAAGGTTCAAAGGAGATCACCTTGGATTTTATATACTGACAACCATCTGGAATTTTGAAAGACTGTCTTAGTCGTAATTTCATGCACATTCCTATCCCTGTTATCCACTTTAATGATACTTTTCTCTGTTACCGCTCTACAGTGCAGTGGAATGTAATGGTGTCTATCTTCTCTTGCCTGTGATACCTAAATTCTTGTGGCAAGCATCTTCTATGAGATGAAAAGACGGATCACCTACCACCCCTCACTCCTTGGACATTTGAAGGGAGGCAAGCTGTGCAGGTACTGCGTTTGTTTCCCCGCTGACACTTAGAAGCAGAGATTCACTTTAGCCTGTAGACTTGCCTCAGTGTGTCAAGAAATCACAAGGTGGAATCCCAGATGTGGTTTCTTAATCCTCATAGTCGCAAAAGCAACCATGTAACCCAAGTAAATACAAGTGCTCATTAGTATGAGGAGAAGGGAAAGGAACCATTTGTTAAAGGTGATGATATTCTCTGAGCAATAATACTCTCTGCACCATCTGATTCATTTTGTTTACTCAACAAGTTGCTATGTTTTTCCTGAAAGGAAGGACTTCAGTATATATTTACTTAGCGCTTTTAAATTATACTTCCTTTCCTTTTAATTAGTGTCTTGTGATCTAAAATTAGCTGATGAATATAATACCTCACTCAAACTCTCTCAGCTTAGTTTGCAGTAATTAGGCCCACCGTCAACTGAAGTTGAACAGACAACAGGGGATGATTTTGTTTTTATTTCTTCCCTGGTGATTTCTAACCTTATTTAGAGAGTGATTTTTTTTTGAAGTTACCATGTAACCATATTAATTACTATCCCCCAAGCTGGAGTTTGGATAATTTCCTACTAGAAGGAAGCAAAGTTCAGACAGTCTTGCCTGGAAAGTCACAAAATAAAAGAAGCTTATACTGTCAGGAACGCTCTCATGAAACATGAGACTGTTAGAACATGATAGTTCACCAGTAAGCCGAATATCATTTACAAAAGGAGGTCACATGTCCTCTAAAATCCCACATTCTCTGCAGACATTCTTCCTTCTAGTCTTTTGTTTGTGCAGTAACTAGACAAAGTTATAATGTGAGGAAATTACTTTTCCTGGATGAGCGAGGAAAACAAACATCCATAAATGCTCACCAGATCGATTTTTATCTTCCCTCCCCCCTTTCTCACTCCTTCCCCTCGCCCATCTTCCTCTCTCTCTCTCTCTCTCTCTCTCTCTCTCTCTCTCTCTCTCTCTCTCTCTCTCTCTGCTCTTTTAAAGAACTGCATACATTGAAAATGATCCAGAGAAACGGCAAGGGTTGAAAAGGATCCAGATATTTCGAATTTGCCCTCACCTTGACAACACTAAAATTACAAGCAGCAGTCAACTTTTACAAGACACCCTCATTGTGTAACATTTATAGGCTGCCAAAAACATGCTACAACTAATCAGATAACAAAGGTGAAGAGCAAACCTTCCCCCGCCATGTAGCTAGCAGTGAATACACTTTTTATTTCCAAGACATTTGATGGCAGAAAGGGTTTGGCTTAAGGCATATCGGACTAACCTTCAATTTGTCATAGCGCTCACTCAAAGCTGCCACCTGATGATCGCGGTGCCGCCCAACCAGTTTACACAAGGCACAGATTAACTGGTCATCGGTCACACAGTACATATTCACCTTCTCATCCTCGTGCTCCAGGCACATCAGCCCCCGGATGTGTGAGTCCGGGATTGGCTCAATCAGACGATGGCCCGTAAAGGGCTTCTTGTTCGGGTGAGTGGCTTTCAGGCACTCATCGCAGTAGGACACTTCACAAGTGACACAGGTCTTCACAGCATCTTGGGCAGGATCCTGGTCACAGAATTGGCAGAGAACCTTCTCAGCAGACGACATGGTGTTGCCGTCAAAGGCCCGTTCCCTGCGGGTCTCACTGGGAGAATTGGGCCCGCTCACAGAGGCTTTCTGAAACCTGTCAATGATGTTCTGGAGGGTGAAGTTGCGCTTGAGCCCGTCTAGACCTCGCTGGCTGAGCGTGATGACATGCCGGCAGGTGGGGCACTGGAAGGCGCTGATGGACTCCACAGGCTCGTTGGTGGCACAGTGAGAGACCAGGATGCGGTGGGCACAGTTGAAGCAGAGGCTATGTGTGCAGGGCAGCAGGAGAGGGTCCTCAAACAGCTCCAGACAAATAGGGCAGGTCAGCTCCGACTCCAGTGTTTCCATCTTCAGGCAAAACTCTCTGGGGTCATCAGCAAAATCCAAGGAAGCTGATCAGCTAGCTGGAAACAGAATGTAAGATTGGATTAAGCATGAGGGGTCAGCAGGGGGAGGGGGCTGTCAGCTTTGAATGCATCTCAGGATAATTCCAAACACAGGCCATGGAAGGGAAAAGATGCCTCTTTAACTGGGAGCAAATGATAAAACCAAACAAAACAACCCAGGAGCCTAGCATTTTCTCAAAGTTCTGATTGTTGAAAGTGAAGCTTTCTTTTTCTTTGCTACTATTTATTGTTTTCTTTTTAAATGGTTTTTCACAATTTTGGCTTTTAAAAGATCTAACTCCAACCTGAAAAGTAATTGAAACTATAACTTCTATAACTGGTATAAGATCAGAATAATTTTATGTCACAACCAAGTTTTACCTTTGGTTAAAATTAAAATAAAGAAACTACTGCTGATGAATGATAACCATTCACAACTTGGAATTTGTGAACTTGCATATTAATCTATATGCATTTTAAGAACTATCAGTTTGCAATAGCAGGTCAGGATTTTCAACTCTACAGATGTACTCACTATAGATATGAGCCTTAAGTATATATGAACTCAAATGTATGCACTACTGTAGAAATAATGTTTAAGTTCGGGGCATCATTTAAAAACATGTATTTGCACAAAGATGATCATAGTAGAGGCAATATTTTTGGCATATTCTCATTATTCTTCTATTGCTAATCCAGCAGTGGGATATGGGTGGCAGAGAAGAATAGAGAAAACTATCCAGGCATCATTTTGAAGGCTGTAATCCAATGACTAATATTATTAGATACATTTGATAAGTTTGAACAATGATAATTACAATTTAGAAAGCAATGTGGAAAGACTATTCAGAGACTGCTAAAGATTCCCTGTGCAGCCCCACTTGGTCTAAACTATCCTATCTCAGGCTTGTCACTGTTGCCAGCAACAGGCCTGGCTGGCAGGAGGTCTTGTCTCATATTCACAGTCCTGCTGGCCCAGGCATGACCTCTGCCAGCTTTGTTGCTCCCCTCCAGGCCACCTTCGGGTGGCCCAGCTGAATGCGCCCCGTCCCATAAATACCTCACTGCTTTTGTGAACTCCTACCTCCCTTCCCTTCAAAGAATCCCACACAAGCACCAGTTCATTAGGGTGAGGAGGCCTCATACTCATTAGCAGGCCTGGGAACGAAGCCCCTTTGAACCTTCTCCCTCTCAGGGCCATTAGTAGAGGGCCGCAGAATGCTGCCTGGCATATCAGCTGTAGCGCAATGCAGCAGGCTGTGGGAGAACGGGGCATTTTAACAGGTCAGGAGGTTCAAATCACTCACAAGGGTAGAAAGTTCTCAGTTGGGGAAGGCTTCACTTCCAAAGCTGTGTTTAGTGATTCTGACAGTTAGTCCTTTGTGTTCACACCTCTGCTTCTTTGCAAAATTCAAGGTTTCTAGAATCATCTGACCTTGTATAAACGAAGAGCGCACACTGCTTTGGTGAAACACCATCACCTCACTGCCAGTTGGGAGAAAATCAGTAAAGACAATAAAGTATGTCCTGGGCCTGTTAAACATTAGAAGAGCAAACTAGTAGCCGAGAAACAGTGACCAGTCACTCCCATTTACTACCTAATAAAGGAGTGGCTGCAATTTGCAATGCTGGCGCTTAATCATCTTCCAAAGGCTGCTCTTCCCCATCCCCACTCTGGCCCAGTCCATTGTTCTTGGAGATGCCGCTGAAGAAATAGAAAGGTTTTGCATATTAAGCAAGACTTTGATTAACTGTAGATAAAGAATTATCTCTGTGTCAAATTTTTGCTCCTTTACTATTAGAAGCATAAAAATCAAAAGGAAATTATAGGTCTGAAAAGAGCATAGGAAACTATGTTCCGTTCTGTGATAGTTGCTGTTAATGTTTACGTTGTTTACTTATTTAAATATATTCCTGTTTTACCTTCTTTTTTGAGACAGGGAGACCTTGCTAGATATTACAGGTTGGTCATAAACTTGAAATATGCTTGCCTCGTGAGTGTTAGGATCATCAGAACAAACCACTATCAGAGAAGCACGCCACCCACTGTGCACAGCCAATTATTTTCATTTAACTTTTATTTTCACATATTGATGTGGCATATGGTATAAATATAGCATATATATTTATATTATATTTATATAGTATTCCATACCATGCAGTATTATAAGCCAATACCTAAAATGAAAGTGTGAGAATCTTTCATGTAGGCCCATATTTCTATACGGTGTGGCAGCCAGGCTCTGAAGCCATAGGCCCCACCTGAGGTGGTCACATAGCCCTGCAGACAGGCTGTCACTGCCCTAACAAAGGGTCGGGGTGTTGTTGCTCCTTTCTGTGTAATTTGGAGGATGCCTGATAGAGATGCTAATTCAAACTTAGCTAGTTTACACAGCAGACAGGTAGTTGTGGCTGGGACTGAAAGCCATTCACCTGGTTACCTAGGAGACAGAATGCTAATGTATTTCCCCTAAGTTAAGTTTTGGTATAAAGACTGTTTGGAGGATAAATGAGAGGAAATTCTTCAGGATGTGAACTCAGGACTTCATGAGGGACCACTGAGAATCTCCCTGCCGATAAAGCCATGTGAGTTGTGTCTTTATTCCCACGGCACCATATCAGTTCAGAGAGAGATAGTTTATGTTGGAGTCTGGTCTAGAGAAATAATTTATGGTCTGGGCTAGCACCAGACCCCGACCCTTTAAAAAAAAAGGCAAAAAAAAAATCCCTTGAAAGTGGGAATGGATACATTGTCAACAGTTAAAGCGCCTGTCATACAACTTGAAGACTGGAGCTCAGTTTCCCAGAAACCACATAAACACTAGGTGGGCATGGAGGCCACCTGGGAATCCATTTCCCAGAGAAAACTGGTTAGACAGACTAGGCCTATAGAGCTCTGGCTTAATCATATGCTCGCACACATTAGCATGCCTACACACATGTGAATATACATACACACGCTGATGTACAGGGAACACAAGTTAAAAAAAACGAATTTTTTTAACTTATTAAAACTGAAAATTGCATGCCATATGATCAGAAGTAAAATGAGGATGTCAGAGAGATTGACATTCCCATGTTTCTTGTAACATTAGTCATAGTTGCCATGCTATGGGAACGACCTAAGTGTTTATAAATGGATGACTAGATAAAGAAATGCGGCACATACACACAGCGAAATAAGATTTGGTTACAAAGATGGAATTCTGTCATTTGTGGCAACATGTATGCAACCAGAGGACGTTTTGGCAAGTGAAACAAGTCGGACAGGGAAAGATAAATATTGCGTGATGACTGTGTTTTTCATGGAAGTGTCAGATTCCATCCCACAGAGGTAGCATGGCAATTCCCAGGGGTGATTCCACTGTGTATCCAATGGAGATGCTGACATTTTATTTATCTGGTCAAGAGAAGGCTACTGTATGCTACGTATTAAGCTGGTCCCAAAAGAGAGAACCTTGTGCTGTCGTTGCTCCACCTCTATTATCATCTAAGCCATCATCATCTAATACCTGGGCTATCACAAGACCTTTCTAAATGCTTTGATTGCTTCTTCTCACTCTTGTCCTTCTCCTTCTAGTCTAATCCCGGATCAGAAGCTAGAGAACCTGTTAAAACATGACAGATTCTGCCTTTCTTCTGTTCTTCCCTTCAGGGGCTTCCCATGTCAGTCAAAGGGAAATTCACCACAATAAAACCAGCACTAGAAAACAGACTCAGTGAGCTCATTTCCTCCCACGCTACTCCTTTTTTGTTCTGCTTGGGGCACATGGCTTCCTTGTCAATCCACAGATATGCCAAATGCATTCCATCTCTCACTCAGCATATACAGTCTTTGGAATCCACATGATTCTGGCCTCCACAGTCACCTTATCTGAACCCACATGAAACTAATTTCGCACCACTACCACCATAACTACTCACCCATTCTAGAAGTCCTTCTTGCTTTACCTCAGTCTGTTGTACTCCATATATCTATTGCTAACATATTCCATTACTTTGTTTACTGATGTTTCCCTTTAATATCCCTAGAACTGGACAGTGTTTTATAGGAGCAGAGATTTTTTTTTCTCTTTGGAGGCTGTGTCACAAGTAGCTAGAATAGTGTCCAAAGTACAATAAACTCAAACACTCATTGATTTCTTCAACTGTACTGGGCTGAAGCTGAATGAGTAAAATACAACTTTTTCCTTTAAGGGTCTGTCAAGCAGTAAAATAGAAGTCAGCAAGTTTTCTATATAAATGGCAGGGCAATAATTTTTTTGGGGGGGCATAGGGTATGTGTTGCAGAAAGAATCATAAAGACACATAAAAGAATGTGCATAGCTAGGCTCTGAGATAGCTGCATTTTGACAAACAGATAATGAGCCAGAGCTGACCTACAGGTCTTAGCTTTAGAGGAGAGAGGAGGACACAAATGGCCAGAAAACAAAGGAAAATCAGCAGCAGAGAGGCCTGACCAGAATGCCAGATGTGTGACAAGAACAGCAAAGATGGAGGAGCCAGACATGGACAAGCGAGTACATGTTCCCTTGTTAACAGGAAATTCTTTGCAATGGGATTTCACCCTGACATCAGTGGAAATGATGTGAGTTCAGTGCTCGGGGCAATTCATGTAGGAATGATTTAATAGCAGCTGCTCAGATCTGAATCTTTTCCTTTTACTGCCAGAGTACTCAGCATGGTGCTTTGGGCAAATGTCTCCACTGTAAATAGTTAACTGAATTAAGTTCTGAGAAAAGAGCTAGATGTGATAAGTGAAGTTCAGCCAAATTTCTAAGTCCCTGGTTCACATAATTGCAAAAGGGAAGGGGCACTTAGTTGATATCTACAATAAACTCTATTCTTCACTTTTATCCATAAGTTGCCACTTATCTTCTTCATTACTCAATAACATCTACATATGCCATTCCCCTCTACAAGAAATTAGCCGGTCCTATTTTCTACCATTTAAAAAATATCTAGAGAAATCAAAGCACTATTTATGTTTTATTAAAATATTAAAATCTTTATGTGCA